ACTATGTTAAATTAACACGTATAATTTAAAAATTAATAACATATCATTATGTTATAATATGTAAGTGATTTAAAAGTTTGGGTTGCTACTTACATTTTTTTTTGGCCATATACAGTTAACCTTTTTTTTTTTTGGTCGAGACTAAACTATCATTAGTGGGGTTATTCCGTACGTTTTTCCAACGCATTCCATGCACCACTTCCACCTCATTTACGCATTCTGATCTGGATCTAACTAATTACCTCTCCTGTCAAAGCTTTTCTCTCAAGCCTATCTCGTCCCATTTTATAACGGCTACTTCCTTAATGTGTTCCAGTGCTAGTTTTTATGTGTATGACGTATATATTTGTTACTTTTGTCCTCCACGTAGGTTTCCTCATAGCAAAATTGCACGATCCGCGAGTGGGGGAAAATCATGAAACGACGCGTCCTGATCGGATGCAACATTCCAATCATATATTAGCGGCCTGGATTCCAGTCCAGCGCCTATATTGATAGCAGTTCCGCAGGCATCAAAATTCCATTTTTGGCCCTTCCGGGTCTATGCCCACGGCACCGCATTCGTTTTCATAATTTTTTTTTTTTTTACACCATGTTGTCTCCCCTGATTTCATTATTTTAAATTTGAAATGAATCAATTCAGATGATTTTTTTTAATTTAAGCTCATATTGTTTTCATAAATTCTATTTGGTCCCCGACAAAAAAATCATGTTTAAGAAGCCTATCTTTTTTTACGAAAATAATTATCATGAGCTTAACGGATAACTATTTAGGTGATTGGTAACCTAATTCAATTTCAAAGTTTTTATAAGTTGCATCCAATGACAGGCCACAATGGATTACTCAATTTGATCCATAATATAAATAGTTTTTTAAAAAATTTACGTACCAATAGAGTCTTCAATTTCATACAAGTATATAATGTTTTTCATATTTACCCTTAATTATATTTTAATTACCTATATACTTTATGATAAGTGAGAGGTAAATACATAAAAAAGTTAGGTTAACAAATACAAGCGAAGAAATCAAAATTTCTTTTTTATATATACTAGGTTATTTATATTTTAAACTAATATTAATTAAAAGAAAATGCTTATATTTTGAGAGAAATGGGGTATATATATATAGGAAGGATATACTTTGTAATATTAGTACTGCATGTGTGTGTATGAAATTTTAAAGTTATTTCTCCAGTTTTTTTTATAAGTTATTTCTATTAACCTTATCAATATCAATGAAAAAAATATAAACAATAAAAGTATATATAATTTCAAATATACCTCTATATAACAAATTTAAAAAACAATGACATGTTATTTTTTTATTTTATGAAGGATAATTTTTAAAAATATCTTTTAAATATGACCTAAAAAGCGCATCATAATTTATTAATGAAATTAAATAAATATTTTAAAATATACTTTATAAATGAGATCGGAAAAGTATGTGTGTATTATAATATGCTTGTTAATGATTTTTGGGACTACAATACTTGAAAGACTTCGAACTGGACTTTTTTACACTTTTTTTTTTTTTTGGAAATCGGACTTGACCAGCCAGCTAGAAATGGATGCCAAATATAAAGTATAAAGTTTATGGGCACACTTTTTTTTTTGATATTTTTATGGTGTCATTACTTGAGCAATCACAATTTGGATAAAGGCATATATGATAATAATTCATCTGACAAAGCTCATTTTGACGTCAAAATTTTCCATTATATTTATCCATTATTATTTGACAATGATATATATATATATATATATATATGCTATCCAATGACAATTACAGCAGTGATAATTTGAAAAATAAATAAATAGCATAATTTATTCTAATTTTTGTAAAGATTGAAAAGCAATAGCAAACACTGTCACTTTTTTAAATTCATCGGCCAAATAAAATCACAGAATTTTTTTTAAAAAAAAGAAATCACGCTGTTGATCGAATAAAAATTGGCATGGGCGAACATTGCATTACAGAGGCATGTAGCATTATTTGCACAAAATAAACATAAAGTTTCCGTACAAGCCATGGACCCAAAAATTTTTAATCCTTAAAAGCATTTACAAGCGTCCACTTTCCAAAACCAGAATGGATATTTTTCTGGTTAGATCAAAATGCTATATTTAATTAAATTTATAGAATAGTTGGTGTGCTGATATTAAAAGTGGGAACGCCAGCACCTTCTAATCGGTCAATGAAGTGATCATAGGCCTTTCAATTCAAATAACCTTTCCCAATTTTCTTCTAACCACAATTATTGACCAATGACAACAATTATCCTCATCAACCTACCTTTTTCTTTAATAGAAAGAAGGGACTCGCAATGCTCCTGATTTCTTCCTCAACACAAACTTCAAAAGATCAATGGTTAACGCTTCATATTTAATATGCAACAATCTTTTGATCTTCTCTCTGTTCCATGGGGAGAGGTTAATGTTTTATCCGTGTAGAGTATATATAGGTATTGGTCATTAATTTACTTAATTATTCTATAAAAAAATTGGTTAAAATTTTAATCTTTCAAAAATTTACATAACTTTTTAATTATACCCTCATTATATGTTATATATAAGTGTCTTGACAATGACAATTGAAATTCTAATACAAAGTACAATTTTTTTTAAAAGAAATAATAAATGAAGTATCCAATGTTTTATATTTCACATTTAGATTTGGATTCAGTGCATGTCTTTGATATAGGCACCCCCATTTGAGCCGTTGAAATACAAATAAATGGTTCAAATCAATTCATCCTTTCATTAATCTCAAGTGGAGCATGAATTTAAAATCTTTTATCTACATTTCAATGACTTAAATGGGATAGGTATTGAGTGCCTGTATTAGAGACAGTCACCAAATCCAAATTCATTTCATATCAAGTAGGATTTTTTAAAAAGGGGGAATCTCATCTATAGTTCCCAAGGAAGAAAGAACTACACTTAAGATATAATTCATTATGAAATCATTTTGTAGACCCAATGGCCTTTTTTGCAAATATGTTTTTAGGACACCATTATCCTTAGTGAGAAAAGGCAACAAGTACAAGTTTAGATTTTTACAATTATATGTTCACAAATTTACAACTTTAAGTTCACATATTAACAAGTAATTGTCCATTACCTTGGACAACTTAATAAATTTACAATTTAAGGTTCAAATATTTACAAATACAGGTTTATCTACTCACAAGTCAACGTATAAAATTTATAATTTCTTGTATTTAGAACTACAGTTCATCATATATTCAAAACACTCATGAATTTTTATAGCTAGATGTTTACAAATTTATAACTTTAGGTTCACATTTCTTTCTTTTTCACTAAGGGCCATTGTATCTTTTTCTCCACAAAACATATTTACAAAAAAGGCCTTTGCACTTGTAGAATAATTTCAAAATGTATTGGGCTATAAATGTATGTTCTCTCTCAAGAATCCTAGATGAGATTCTCCCTTTAAAAAATGTCATATATTATGAGGTGAGGGAGAATATTAGGTCCCTTAGAACTTAAGTGTAATTTAAATTTGGGGTATAAAAACAATACTATTCTTATTAAAATTATTGAAGTTACAAATATAAAATATTGAAGTGTGACTTATAAATTATTGATATAGTAGTTATAAATAATTAGTGTTAAATATTATTGGCAACACATAATCAGTTAATTGTTAGATATATAAAGTTATTTTTGTAAAATATTGAAGTTATAGTTATAAATTACTGATGGGGTAGTTGTAAAAAGTTAAAATGTATTTATAAATTATTGATTAAGTAGTTGTAAATTATTTGATTGATATAATATATTTTTAATAAATGTATTGTTATCTTTATACTTTAATTTTAAATTACACTTAAGTCTCAATAAATCTAGCTGTGGTTTCTAAATTTTGTAAAATTTATTTATAAATAAATTTATTTCATAAGACCTATACGTAATTTTCTCATAATGTTTTACCTTAGAGCTGCCAAAAAATCTCTCTTTGTTATAATTGTAATTATAATTATAAATAAAACAAAACCACGTTGTTGAATATTCCCTCCAGTCCCATTAATTATAAGGAAATTTTTAAAAATTTATTTAATCCCATTTATTCTATAAATCATAGTGTAATTTTTTAGATAATATTTGAAAGGTATTTTTAAAATTATTCTTTATAAAAAATAATATGATATTACTTTTTAAATTTATTATGTAGAAATATATTTAGAATTTTATACATTTTTTTAATCTTGTACTTTTTTTTATATTAATATTGATGACATTGATAATAATAATTTATAAAGAGAACTAGAAGATTATGCGGTAGTCGGAGTACTTGGGCTGCAATCATAACAACCTTAATATGCAGAATCCATAGGATTGTCTCGAAGTTCATGCCACTGCACCGCAGAATTTAGACGTCTTCATGCAGAATTTGACGAAAAAATGTTTTCTTAATTAAACAGCTACCGCAATAGTAATGATAACGAGGTAATCTACTGTCTTTGATGATGTCTCATCAGTTTCGGTTTCTTGTTCTGACGTACTGGGGGCAGCAATACAAACCCTACCTAAGTGGTTGAGGTGAAAGATAAAAGATGAAGGCATTAGGGGCAAGAAAATATAATTAAGGGAAATTCGACCTTTTAATTTAATCCCAAAACCAAATCACGTCAGTGTTGTTGTGCACAGTGTTTGTGAGATCGTCACTGTTGAGATGAAAACTATGGCATCTGTCCAATACATCAAATCTATGTCAGAAGAAAGAAAATGGGGTTAATGATGTGTACTAACAAGGTGCAATACATATCACTTCCTGATTTTTTATATAGCGTCTTTTATATATGGTTGTAGCAGAACACGGTCTCCAACCCAGATATCCAACGCAAAGCTGGCTTACACCCCAACCCTCCACACGCAGCAGTTCATAAACAACTGGTTTGCACTTTCATCTCCGAGCTTTGTTCCTTTTCAATCAGATTTTCCCCTCGAATCCAAACCCCCATAAATGATGGCTTCCCTCAACTTCCAACCGCCACGGAATCTCACCCATCTCAAGCTCAAACTACCAAAACGATGCGTTCCGGTACTCCCTCTAGTTCCGCAGGAGCCAGCAGCGGTGCAGAGACGGGGCGTCACCCGGTGTACCGGGGGGTGAGGCGTCGGAGTAGCGGGAAATGGGTGTCTGAAATTCGAGAGCCCAGGAAGCCCAATAGGATATGGTTAGGGACATTTCCTACCCCTGAAATGGCCGCCATTGCCTATGACGTGGCTGCCCTTGCCCTCAAAGGCAAGGACGCCGACCTGAACTTCCCTGACTCCGCGTCTTCGCTGCCCGTTCCTGCCTCTCCCGCTGCCCGTGACATTCAGATTGCTGCAGCCAGTGCTGCTGCCGCTGCTGGCGCAGCCAAGGATGCCTTGTCCTTGCCTCATGAACAAGGCAGCGCTAGTGTGAGCCTCTCGGAGGGACAACAACATGGCGGTGCTGAGTTTGTGGACGAGGATTTGATCTTTGATTTACCCAATGTTCTTGTCAACATGGCTGAAGGAATGCTGCTCACCCCTCCTCCTTTGGACTTTACTGGGAACAACGATGCTGATTTTGCTGCCGGAGGCAACGTCGGTGATGATGATCAAAACCTTTGGAAATTTCCATAATGTCTCCCGTCACATAACCCCCTACCTTTATAGTATACTATGTTGCATGACTATTAATTGATGCTTGTTGATGAAGTAACAACGAAAAGGAGAAGAACTAGCCTGTAATAAATTATGGGAGAGCTCTCACATCAAGGCTCGCTTTGCTTTGATATGACGAAATGGAGTGGGGTGTGTGTCTTCTTATATTTGGAAAGAAAGTTTAAAAAAATCTCGGTCTATATATGTAGCACTACTGTATTATTATAGGAGGTTTGGATCTGTATTATAGGAGGTTTGGTTCTGTTCCATTGTAATGGTTATTATAGTTCTATTATTATTTTATCATGCAGTGATGGGTAAATGAAATGTAAGTTTGTGTGTACATGCTTAATTAGTCTCCGTCGACGGGGCATACTTAAAGGTTTACATGGTCTTTTTTGAATCTTCGACAACCCTAGGATTATATCTAACGTTAGTCTCACCCCGTTTAATTTCATTAGGTTTTAATTCAAGCAGATGCCGGAACCTAATTATATTCATGGCATACTCTGCGTCCAATGATGGTTTATAATTCCTCGCCTACAGTTTGAAAATAATTAATTTGAATTGCTTTTACTTGCTGTATTCAAGAACATTTTTGCTTTCGCCATCTACTTGTACGTGTTGGCCACTTCGGCTCACGTTGAAGAGAACACAGGTTGGTGCTAAAAAACTCGATGAGGTTTGGCTGGTGCCGGGTGTGTGAGGCTATCTTTCGTTCAAATGAATAGCAGTATAAAGAAGAGGGAAGCAAATTAAAGGATGTCTAGTTTGGTAAGAAAAAAAAGGAGGGCTAGTGGGGAAGGTTTAGTCAGTGTGAATTGATTATTACTCAGTTGAAATGGAGGCTTCGAGTACCCTAATTCCAACTTACTATTAATCGCATGCGGTTAATTACAAAAATATTATATGATATTGCAGTGGGATCGATAATTTTCTGGGGTTATACATAGGCAATAATCATTATATATAGAGTTGAAGCGGGTGCTCCACTCACTCGTCCATTGTTGACGTGTCAAATTCAAGAGGATCGGGTTTTCGGTAGTCACGAGGGCCGCGCAACTTCGTGAAAAACAGACTGTGTATGAGGTGTTATGGACGATGACACTTTACCCTTCTCTGATGACTATTCCTCCATCAAGGCCCATAAAAGAAAAAAAAGGATAACTGTTCGTGGATCGGCTCCAATGCATGCGTAAATGATAATTCAATCTTTCAACGGCCATGATTTCAGTCTGAATTTCGCTTAGTTTCATATGTACACATACTTGAGGACCCCTGGCTAGAGTCCCTGCCATCCACTTTCCTTTGTTCTCCTCCTCAATTCTCTCCGATCGAATCTTGTAGATTCTCGTAATGGAAAGGAACACAAGGAATATAATATATTGGAAGTGAATTCCTGTAGATTCTCAGCTGCGTTAATTACTTTATTAGAATTAATATGATAAATATAAATGAATAAAAATAATTAAAAAGAGGACATAAAAGAGAAGTAGTTAACGGTTCAAGTCGAGTCGATTCATAAAAGTTGAGAGTATATATATGAGTAAAATTAACATGGACATTAGAAGCTAACTAAAATGGTGAAGATGCAGTGTGTGTGTGTGTGTGTGTTATTCTGGTTTGGTCTTCGCAGCATGTGAGAGGGAGAGAGAGGGAGAGGGAGAGGGAGAGAGATCAGACCAAATGATTAAAATAGTAAAATGTTATTACTTAGAGCAACACATAAGGGGTTTGGGTTTCTTTATATCATCAAATGATCTAGTGCCTTCGCGATCGCACAGGGCGTGGCTATATATTGTGCGTGCATCAAGAGTGAACAGTATTGCAAATAAAATAGGAGAGTAGAAGGGGTGAGAAATATAGAATGTGGGTACTTTTGGGGCACAGGCACGGGAGGGAAAGTAAAATGATGGGCGCAGTCAAGGGGCGTGATTATTAAGGGATAGCACCGAGGAAAAAGGATTAATTATCTCCCCCATTGACTGTTACGATCGTCTTTGCTTTTCCCTGTTCATGATTAGGGATGACATGTCCCTCATATTAGCAGTGGATATGACGGCTTAGCCCCGCTCCTTTTCTTTATTAACTCAAAATACAACCTTATCACAACTGTCCCTTGTGTGTATTGTATAGCAACACGACACACTACCATATTAATGTTATCTAGGGGGTGGATCTTTAAACCCATTCTCTCCTTTGGCTAAAAATAAATCCATTCTCTTGATATGAACGAACACGGCTCGAATGGACGTCACTTGTCTCGCTTCCCTGTCTCGTCAACCCATTTGCATTCTGTCAAGTTAATTAATTAGAACCTGAACGATGAGTTAGCTATGCTAAGCTTTGTTTAATTAATCTTGCTCTATACTTTGTTCATCATATATCCCACGGCATGATCTAGAGTTCCTGAGCTGGCAGCTTCCTTGGGATAGGGTTAAGAAGACTTAAGCAAGCTTGCTTACGGCTGATCGTTAAGTACTGGCATGAGAAGAGTCTGCGTATAATTAAGTGCATTTAAGTTAATGTGCACACTTCATTCATCTTCTGTGAAAAGTATGCAAAATCACATGCCCGCCCTGTAAGTTAAGTTCACAGACTACGTTAAAACGTATATGACATTCTAACTTACGAGACCCGAAGTAAACTACTGTGATTACCAACTAAGTAGATGAGAAGCGGCTTCTTGACCGTCAATAATTGAAAACACGAAGAAGCCGACAATATTAATGGTGAATTGATAAATGAACGGCGCACTAATTATTAGTAATTAGAACTAGTAGAGGAGACAATACCTTAGTCATTATTATAATTCGCAACGGGGACTCGTTGAAAACTCACAAGATACCTTTGCAACCAATAATAATCGTTGAACTTTTAAATCGTCATTCCAAAAGGCTTGACGTGGTTTCTGTGCGCTGAATTTGCTGATTTATATATGCTTCCCATTGTAGGAAAGCAGTCCATGTTCATTTAACAAATGAAAGGAAACAGTGTTGTTTGGCCCAGTAAAGAGATGTCTGTCGTCGGAGGAGAATTGGGTAAAATTCAAAGCAGCTACAAATGTGCGTGTTACTAATAGCCATTAGCATTTAATATTCAGTTTCATGGTTCGTTGCAACGATAATTTGTTGGTTTATGTGATTATGGGTACACCTGAATGGAAGCTTGAGAACTTGTAGTGAAGTTGGTTCGTTACTTTGAAATATTTTTTTTAGGGCGCATTTGATTTTTAATTTGACAAAAGTTCTCTTATAAAAAATTTATTTAACAAAAATTAGTTTAGTAAAAATTAGTTATTATAATAAAATTTGTATTTAAATATAATTTTAAAAAATTAATTTTATAAACTATTTTCTCATATTTTTAATGTATGACACTTTTAATTATTTCATATATTTTTAAAGATTAATTTTTTAATATTATAAAAAATTATTTACATTTTTTTAATATTAATTTTAAATAATAATATAACTACATTAAATACGTTTACATTAATTAACAATGAAAAAATTAAAAAAATAATTTAAATATTATAAGATGTCATACATTTTGAATAAAAAATTATTTTTAAAAAGTATCTTGCAAATATAACGAGAGAGAGAGAAATTTGGATGATATATAATGGAAAGACATATTTTTTATAATAAAAAGGACAGATTTTATTATATATGATTGTTATTATATTAAAGTTGATTTATTAAAAATATAAAAATAATGCAAATTTTGATATGGTGAGTGACATATATGATAAAATAAATGTGTAAATAATATAAAATTCTATATGTTGACCAATATATAATTAAAAAAGTATACATAATTTTGAAATATTAGAAAATATATATAATAAGAAAATTTTTAAGAATATAAATTTGATATTTTAACTAATAAAAAAGTATAAATAATTAAAAAATGATATGTTCATAAAATATTTGTAAATACTTTTTATTTGCATTTAAAAAAAATATTAACAAGGGCAACGGGAAAAGAGATGGTTAAAAATTTTAACCCCTACATTTGTCAAAAGTAACTCTCCTTAGCTTTTAAGAAATGGACTTTTGATCCTTATTTGAATGGATTTTTAAAATGTATATTTAGAAATAAAATAAAACCAAATAATTTTGACTTTTTCAAAGTTACAAAAGTCCTTTTGAGACATGGGAAGTGAGAAACCCAAATAGACATTTCGTTCAGATGTCCAGTGTAAGCTTGAGCTTGTGAATTAATTGGGATTTCTTTTCTAATGAGAAGGACGCAGTTTTAATTTCTAAATAAATTATTGCTTGAGAATTTGAAAAATGAATTACATTCATAATTAGTATAAATAATATAATTTGTTATAAATCCTATGTTTCGTATTAAAAATCAATTTTTAAAAATTTTTACATCAATTTATATCCCAATAAGAAAGATTAAATTTTGTATCTTTGATATTGTCTCTAAAAATTCAAACTTGAATAAACATTTTTCTGAAAGAGTTGTTCTAATACCTGTTCAAAGTTATCGAGAACCTTGCGTCGCATGCTGATTTTTGCTCAAAAAGTTCATGCATTTTCTTTTAAGCCCCGTTTGGTACTTCAGAATTCTTCATGCGGAAAAGGATTCTTGGGTGGAGCAGGCCTTGGTAGCCATTATTTTTGATTCTCAAGAACCCCAATTCAATCAAAAAAAGCCAGAATCCAATTCCTCCCCGATGCATGGAATTGGTTCTTGTATTCTTGATGCTTCTTTGCCCTCAATGAAATTGTCACATCTGTCCCTCGCAGCCTGCAGCGTCGCACCTCCACCACCCACCATCATCTCCACCTCTTCCGTGATGTCTCCTCTACCTCTTCATTCATCTCCTAATGACAGATCTGTCTTTTTCCACGGTTCTCCTCCACCTTCCTCTCTCGCATCGGATCTGGCTTCATGGCTATTCTCCATCTTCTTCCTCTACAACAGAAAATTTCATGGGTGTGAGAGGCAGGTTTTGATTTTCTGTAGCTATTCTCCTTCTTCCTCTACAATCTTTTTTTGGACTGAAACTTCCTCTTCAATTTTGATTGTTGCTGATCTGTTGGTGGTACCCTGTGTTGCCGTGAATGACTGGTGAGAGAAGATGGATGCAAAGGGATAAATGAGGTCTTTTAATTTTAGGAAGAGGACATTTTAGAATTTTTATATTTTAAATACATACATTTATTAAAATTATATCGAGATTTTATTACTATACCAAA